GCCTCCGCGACCCGAATAGAGAAGCGGCGATGGAAGATGAAGAAGAAGGGAGCTGAATATTTTTAGCGGTATATTATAGTAAACTGTTTTTCCAGCATTTTAACGGATAAACGTAACTTGTAAATCACGTATATCGTACTAATATTTCGAGCGTTAGACGTGTATTGACCATGCAAAGTTGTTTTGTTGCGGAATATTTCGTTACAAATTTTCTTGTAGCTACTGACGGAAGTTAACCATGTTGATAAATCTTTGCACATTTATCCAATGTTAACGTATTTGTAAATTTTCAACGATTTTCCAGTTTTTGTCTTTCAGGTACTAGTACTTGATTTAAATGGCGAAAAATGTAGTAGTCATTTACGGTACAACAATACTGGGGTAACGTGAGTCGAATGGCAGTCTTTACAGTGATTTGTGTTGCAACTTTATGCTTCCTCCTTTCCCTGTAAGGTTTTTGGTATTTACTTTACTGCTTCTTTAGACTTCATGACTGTAAGATGTCATGCAACATATTGCATAAGTGAAACGCATTTCGTGAGATTGGTATCGCATTCTAGTTTAATGTTTTTTGTGTTTTTTATACTTAGTAATTGACAGTAATTTTAAGGTATGGCTCCCACAGGAAAAAAAGGTAAGCTTTGCTTTTTATTTCGAAATTGTTGCACTTTGTTCGTAATTTTAGGTGGTGATAAAACAAAAGGCAAATCAGAAAAGCCTGCAGTGACTGTCGCCAGTGCAAAAGTCACTGAGGAACCAAAACCCCAACAGGTGAAAGCCAAGGATTCCTCCAAGGTGCCAACGCAGAGCACTAAAGGTTAGTTGGTGTGCTTCCGTAGTTCTGAATGTTCTTGTCATGGTGCGACTGCTGTTTCCGTAGACAAACATTGATTGTGAACTATTACAGAGTGCATGAATTAATTTCTTTGGTGATATTTTGTGCCAATGCATTAAGTGTATTTTCTCATTTCCATAAAAAATTGTTTTGCATACTTTATCGTCGTTACTGCCGGAAAGAATGTCACCCTCGCAGTATTGTTCTTTGGTGGTTTGTTCAACTCTAAAATAATGCAAGTCACCATCAATATATGCCAGAAAAAGAAATTAAGACTTATTGTTGGTAAAAATGATCAGTGAACAATAAGTTTCCAAAATTCTGACTAGACATTGTCGAATCATTGAAAAAAGGGGGTTTGATAACAGGGTAATGTGGACATTAAGTCATTGGTAAATTGCTCAAAATTCTTTTCGTTTTATTTATTAAATTTTATTCAGTATTCCTTGAGTTAAAATCTACTAATCTTGATGTCTCTGAACATATAATCAGAAGGTTTGCTTTGATGAAGTTGCTTTACGGGCACTGAACTGGTTTGAATTTCAAGATGGCAA